GGAAAGACGCAAGAGAGAGAGAGACGATGAGAAAAAGGAAAAGGTTGGACAGGAGGAGAAAAGTAAATAAGGTGGAGGATAGAAAGGCAAGAGAAAGGTAAGGGATGGAAGAACGGGTGAAGGGTGATGGAAAGTTAATAGAAGGGTCAAGTGGGATGGAGGGGAGGGGACGCTGGGGGTGGAAAATAGGGAAGGGGAGATAAATAGGAAGGGAAGGGTAGAGAAGGAAAAGAAACAGGGAAGAAATAAAGTGTGAGAAGGGTTTTGTGGGGCGGGGAGGCGGGCTTCTGTAGATAGAGGTGAACTAGCCAAAGGGGGAAGGTGATGGCGGTGGTGGACACGTGCACAGGAGGGGTGAGGCCACGTGGATCCAGGGGACTTTGCGAGGGGCGGCACAGTAGTTGTATTATTAAAGATTTTACAGTAGCTGGGTCGGGTGTTTGATACAGTCAGCTTCACCCCCACCCCTCTTGCCTCATTCCCCGCCCGCCTCACCCTGTTCCTGGGCCTGTAATTGATGTTGAACTTACACCTATAGGTTATTGCTGGGGTCTTGTAATTGATGGTGATGATGATACAGTTATGTTGTTGTTGGAGAATGTGTAATTGATGGTGACCTGGTGACATTTGTGTGTGTGTGTGTGTGTGTGTGTGTGTGTGTGTGTGTGTGTGTGTGTGTGTGTGTGTGTGTGTGTGTGTGTGTGTGTGTGTGTGTGTGTGTGTGTGTGTGTGTGTGTGTGTGTGTGTGTGTGTGTGTGTGTGTGTGTGTGTGTGTGTGTGTGATAAATAATAATAATAATTAAGGTTTATTGAAAGAGCTTACAGCCAGAAGGCTGAAAATATACAGTTACATATTTAGAATGGGTTACGAATTACACAATACTAGCTGGCACATGGGTACCTAACTCTGAGGTGGTCTGAGGTGGTGATGAGATGATTGATAAGAGTGTCTCTGGTGGTGATCGAGGCTGATGATATACCACAAAGATAATAATAGAAGCAGTGATGAGGGTGAGCACTCAGCACGACACGCACACAACAACACCTCCCCTGACAGAAGAGGGCAACGCCCACGTCTGTGTACAAAGATGATGAAAGAGTTGATATCTCCTTCGTTAATGCCCAGGTGTGTGTGTGTGTGTGTGTGTGTGTGTGTGTGTGTGTGTGTGTGTGTGTGTGTGTGTGTGTGTGTGTGTGTGTGTGTGTGTGTGTGTGTGTGTGTGTGTGTGTGTGGGTGTGTGTGTGTGTGTGTGTGTGTGTGTGTGTGTGTGTGTGTGTGTGTGTGTGTGTGTGTGTGTGTGTGTGTGTGTGTGTGTGTGTGTGTGTGTGTGTGTGTGTGTGTGTGTGTGTGTGTGTGTGTGTGTGTGTGTGTGTGTGTGTGTGTGTGTGTGTGTGTGTGTGTGTGTGTGTGTGTGTGTGTGTGTGTGTGTGTGTGTGTGTGTGTGTGTGTGTGTGTGTGTGTGTGTGTGTGTGTGTGTGTGTGTGTGTGTGTGTGTGTGTGTGTGTGTGTGTGTGTGTGTGTGTGTGTGTGTGTGTGTGTGTGTGTGTGTGTGTGTGTGTGTGTGTGTGTGTGTGTGTGTGTGTGTGTGTGTGTGTGTGTGTGTGTGTGTGTGTGTGTGTGTGTGTGTGTGTGTGTGTGTGTGTGTGTGTGTGTGTGTGTGTGTGTGTGTGTGTGTGTGTGTGTGTGTGTGTGTGTGTGTGTGTGTGTGTGTGTGTGTGTGTGTGTGTGTGTGTGTGTGTGTGTGTGTGTGTGTGTGTGTTTAAAACGTATCTTATCTTGATTCACTTTCCTTTCTTGCCACGAGCCTGCTGAGTCACGCACACGTACCTTCTTTCAGACCCCATTCATGGACCCCACGCACCCACAGTGACGGATTAACTTAATAGGGGCCTGAGGCACAGATCAACTTAGCGCCCTTTACTTGATGAAC